AGGGAGGTGGGAGGGGGGATCGGGATGGGGAATACATGTAAATCCATGGCTGATTCATGTCAATGTATGACAAAAACCACTACAATATTGTAAAGTAATTAGCCTCCAACTAATAAAAATAAATGGGAAAAAAAATAAAATTATATGTTTATATCTAAGATCTATTCTGTTCACAAAAGAGTATTGCAATTTTGATGTGACTTTAGAGGTAACTCTTGTAGTTTTGATATAATTGTGCCCTTTTGGATTTTATGAAGCATTTTTATTTTCACTTTTCTCATATTTTTCCTTTTTTTTTTCCCCTCACTTAAGATTTTGTAATGCTTAATATGAAGCTACAAATAGCATATTGTGTTTTCTTAGGTGATTTTTTTATGTGACATTTTTTGGGATGCAACTTTATTTTCTCGCATAGGGTGATTCCTTCTTTGTGTGTGAATATCTTAATTTGTGGGCTCCCCTGGTGGCTTAGTGGTTAAGAGTCTGCTTGCCAAAGCAGGAGAAGTGGGTTTGATCCCTGGGTCAGGATGATCTCCTGGAGAAGGAAAGGCAACCCACTCCAGTATTCTTGCCTGGGAAATCCCATGGACAGAAGAGCCTGATGGCTGCAGTCCATGGGGTTGCAAAAGAAATAGACCATTTAGCGACTAAACAACCACAGCAATAATCTGTAAGATGCTGGAATCTCTTAAGACAGTGTAAACAACAACAACACTTTAATCTAAGAGGCTAGAATCACTTAAGACAATGATTCCTCTTACTTTATAGTTTTTCCGCCACTCTTTCTGTTTCTGCATCCCTCTTGTTTTATTTCCTTATCTATATTTAACTGAGAAGGAACTAAGGAAAGGAGAGCCAAGTTTATCTTATTCCCAAGTGACCAAAGTCACAAAATCTTGGTGTTCTTGTATTTATTTCACTTTCTAGAGTATAGATCAGAGGTCTAAATCGAGAATTAGCCCAAATATATAGCTAGGAAAATATTTTGGCAAATAAAACTCTTGAGAGGTGCTATTCGTCTTTAGTTAATTTCAAGTTTTCTCTGTGTCTTTCTCACATCTCATCATGATATTTTTGCTTTTTTGTATGTAATGTGTCTCTTTTTTTTCCCCTTTGGCTACTTTCAATATTTTTTTCTTTATCTTGGTTTTCATCTGTTTGTCTATAATGTACCTAGATGTGATTTTCTTTTTATTTATATTGGTTGGGATTGTTTAAGCTTTTTAAGTAGATGTTTTTAATGAAAATTGTGAAAAGTTTGGTCATTAATTCTTTGGACATTTTTTTCTTTTTTCTGAGAACTTTTTTCTGAGACTTCAGTTACACATATGTTACATGTTGTTCTTTAAGGTTCTGAGGCTCTGGTTAATTTTTCTTTAATCTCTTTAGTATTCGGATTCAACCAAGTTTGCCAACTTTTCTTTTTGTTTTTCTTCATTCTCCTGTTAGGCCTGTTCAGTGGATTTAAAAATTTCAGTTATTTGACTTTTCATTGATAGACTATGCATTTCTCTTTATATAGTTTTAATTTCTCTATGAGAGTCTGATATATCTTAATTCTATCAGGTCATATCTTTTTTCAGTTATTTGATTGATTTGAATACATCTGCTTTAAATTCTCTGCTATATCCAATCTTAGAGGGGAGCTTGTCTAAGGATCTTTTTTATTGTCTGTTTTTCTGTGAGTCCCATTTTTCTGTTTCTTTGCATTTTTTCACTTTACAATGGACATTGAGGATTCTCTATTGTAGAAACTCTGAGTTCTGTGGCATACTTTTAATGTTAATTTTTATTCTGGTTGGATGATTTATTTCCCTGAAATTACTAGGTATGATTTAACACTTGGTTAGAATGTATCTGTGGAAAACCTAATATAGTTATCCAGCTCTTCTAACTTGATGAGATTCAGCCTTCAGGTTTAGGCTCCTTTATGGATTTTGTTAGGACTTGATTTGGGGTTTTGTTAGAGTAGGTCTATTGTGGGCTTTACTCTAGGACTTTGTGCTTATTCCTAAGTAATGCCATTTCTGATGTCTTAGCCAGATGCCTGGAACGTTAGCCATTCTCTCTGGCTGGGCTGTAATTCCAGTGTTCTCCAGAACTGCTTGAGTACTTTAACTCCACTGCACTCTCAGCCCTGGAGCAGCTACTCTCTGGAAAGCCTTAGGAGTCTCACCCTGCACGTACGCAGCCCAGACCATGGCCAAAGGCTTGTGGGGGATCCCCATGTGGACCTTTGGCCTTTATTACCTCATCACTCTTTCCAGGGCCTTGCCTGCAGATCCTAGCCACTTCAGTTGACCCAAACTCTGATTGCTGCCTCCTTGAAGTGAAATGAGGTTGCTCAGTCGTGTCTGACTCTTTGCGACCCCATGGACTGTAGCTTACCAGGCTCCTCCGTCCATGGGATTCTCCAGGCAAGAATACTGGAGGGTTGCAATTTCCTTCTCCAGGGGATCTTCCCGACCCAGGGATTGAACCCAGGTCTCCCACGTTGGAGGCAGACGCTCTAACCTCTGAGCCACCAGGGAAGCACTGCTGCCTCATTAGCTCATTAGAACTGCCATGAACTCTAGCTCCCTGTGCTACACTCAGGAAATTGTTCCCCAGATAAGATCAGGAAGGTCATGGAGTCACCTTATAAGTTTCTCTTCTGTCTGGGATTTTAATCCATTGTGCAGTGTCATAAAATAACTGCTTACTAGTTTTACAGTCATTTCATTAGGAAGACAAGTCTGGAACTAATTGCTACAATATGGCCTGGAGCAGAAGTTTCTCCCCTACTTTTGATTTAGGATCAGCGGTAAGAGGTTCCACTTAATTTCCCCATCTAGCCGTTTCCGTATACTCTGAATAAATAATAAATGATAGTTTGAGTCCCATATGTTTGTCTTCTTCTTAGTATATTTTCAAATAGTTTTAGATCCCTAGCATGGAAGAGGTGTGGGGAGTTAGTGCCCTCTGACCTCTTAAGAGGATGGATGAACACAGGGACCAGCATTCAGGAATAGAAGTATCATGTAGGTAGAATGAGACATGTGGTATTTTCAGACACACTGTTGGTTTTTAACAGGTCTTCCACAGTAAATGACTTTAAAAGGCACAGGTGCTAACATCTGAAACATTAAGCATGGGTCATTTATATAGTTGCAGAACCACAGCTGTGTTTAAAAGAAAGATTGACTTATCTGGGACCTCAAAGTGAGAGTAAGAGGCCTTGATTTAAGGAGAGATAGCCCTTTCTCTCGTGGGGCTGGTCCATCTCATTCTGGATGGATTATTTTGACCTCTAGACTGGAGACGGCCTCACTTCTGTGACACTTGGCCATCCTGTGTGGTATAGGAGGATGGCAGCGCTGTGGCCTTTCACTGAGCCATTTCCTGATCCCTGCTTCATTATGGGTCTAGGAGGTGGGCAGAAAGCCCTTGATTTCAGGGCAGATAGGCCCTCTCCAGACTTAAGAAGGGTCTGAACTGACGTGGAAGTCCAAGTAGTGAGTAGTCTAGGAGTGCACATGTGGCCCGGTTCTGGCCGGTGATGTGTGAAGGGAAGACTTTGGGGCCACTTCCTTTTCCAAGGAAAAGCCAGAGCCTCACGAAGACAGTCTTTAACCCCCACTTTCTCTTGTACTTGGGACTCTGGTGAAAGGATGTGATGTCTTGACTTGTTATATACATGTAACCACCATAAGTTATCAGTCAAGAAGATTAAAAGCCAAGGATTACAGAGGAGAAATAAAGAGCTTGGACTGGCACTCCAAAGAAAAAAGTCTTTACCTGTGTTTCAGTCATCAGCAGTGAGCCTTTCTTGTGCCAGCAGTCATTCCTAACTGAGCCGCTGGGATGGCTGTTAAGATGAGAAAGCAAAAAAGAGGAACACAACTGCCGTCAAAGGCAGGATGAAGAGTGAGCGGGATACTTCTGTAGTTACTGCTTCAGAGATGGTTTGGGCTGCTCTAATATAGGTTAAAAACCACTCGGTTGTTTTCAAAAGAAGTAACAAAAATTTGACATAAAAATTTCAAAACAGTAACTCCAACCCATGTGGAAATTTTCAGAAGTTTAATAAAATCAATGATATGATGGGAAAAATCTTTCAAATGAGTATTTAGTAATTTGAAAATATGCAAAACAGTTTTCTTGGCCCCTGTTAAAGGGAGATACGGTAGATGATGAATTTAGAGAAGACCTGAAAGTAAAGAATGAATGCAGGGCTAGGATGGGAAACGAATGTTGGCATCTGTCTTAGTTACGTCCTGAATTTAAGGCTGTCATGACTAAAGGAATATGCATAATATGTTCTCTCTTGGGCTCTGTGAAGTAAGTTTCATAAAAGCACATACAGCAGGAGTAGCTTCAGGTTTCTATACCTCTTAGTAGGAAGCAGCCACTCCTTTTCAGCTGTGTCCTGAGAAGCTGGATTGTTTCCTAGCAACATCTAGTTTTATTTGTGGAACTGAGAGATGGTCTCTATAGAAATAAGTCCCAAAGGGGAAGGATTTGGGTGGAATATAGGGCTGGTGAGGTGTGGCTTATTGGCACAATGTGCATTTTGATTGTTGTTTCTCTTGGCTTACATTTTCTTCCTACCTAGAAGTGTGATTTGTTTTTGTTTAGCTAATTGCTAATGTTTTACACTGTTCACTTTGCTCCAAGAGACTTTTAGCACTATTAATCTGGAGGGAAACCATGTCCTTCTGGATCAGAAATAAGAATCTTTCACTAGATAGTTTGGGCAATGTAGAGATCCTATTGGGAATACAAACACAAAAAGTTGAAAATATCAAAACACTATCTGGGAAAACTTTGTGAACATTGTTCTTAAAACAGAAGCTAATTATGTTTTCTCCCTCCAGAAACTGTCATGTACACCCTAAGATTTCCAGGGATGATCACAATGTACCTGTAGCCCTGAATCTCCAAATTATAGCCATTAATACCTTGCAGATAGCTTCCAGAAATCACTATATTTATATATATTGTCTCCAAAATTAGAATTGACCCCTCACAAATTTAATAGTGCTACTCATTGCCTCCTCCTAAACTCTCCAAATAAAAAGAGCCAAATGCTTTTATTGTGTAAGAAGTCTTGGGCAATCAGCATACACAGCTTTCCATGAAACATCAAATGGACACTTTTTAAAGAGAGGCAGAAAATACTAAATTTGTTTCAGGTTCACTATTAAATTCCCTTTAACCTTTTGTCTTGTACTTGTTTTTTGGATTCTTCAAAAGAAAAACACTTCAAGAAGCTTTATTTGCTGTTTCTCATGTGCAGGCCACTTCAGGCACATGGATTGAACTGTTTGATCTGTGACTCAGTAAGAAACTTTCTATAGAATGTAAATCAATGTGGAAGCTTCCTTCATTGAGAAGATCTTGCTGTAAAAAATCATCTAAACTAAATAATGGGCTTACTGACATAGCTATTTCACATTCTGGATCAGCTTCTTCTCTTGTCATGGATCAGCAACATAAAGATAATTTACCAACATTGTCTGGACCAGCCTTTGAGTATACCTCTCAGCATCTATGCTGATTATATCTCTAAAGACTGTTGTTCACTCACTAAATTGTGTCCTGCTCTCTGTGACCCCATGAACTGCAGCACGCCAGGCTTTCCTGTCCTTCTCTATCTCCTGGAATTTAATTAAACTCATGTCTGTCGAGTCAGTGATGCCATCCAACTGTCTCATCCTCTGTCACCCCATCTCTTGTCCTCAATCTTTCCCAACAGCGGGCTCTTTGCCAGTGAGTTGGCTTTTCACATCAGGTTGCCAAAGTATTGGAGCTTCAGCTTCAGCATCAGTCCTTCAAATGAATATTCAGGGTTGATTTGGATTGACTGATTTGATCTCCTTGCAGTCCAAGGGACTCTTGAGTCTTCTCTTGCAATAAAATTGCACTAATGATCCAAGACATTAGAATCATATATTTTTGAGCTCTAAGATCCCAAAGTTTAAGCTTATGTTTTATAGATAAGAAAAACTAAGGTCCAGAATGGTGAAACCATGTTGGTAGTTGGGGGCAGTCAAGACTGGGGCTTAAGTGTCCTGTGAACCAGTCTTCAATTTTCTTCTTGTGTGCTGAAAAATATAGTCCAGTGTTTTTCAACCTTTAGTTATTTCCTTAATTATTACTTTCTTGATTTTCACAGTATTGGATTGCCATTTGTACTATTTATCCTTTTCCTTAAACTGTCTGATTAAAGAAAATGAACTGGTTATTTACCCTGACCTTGTTGTTCTAAGCCACAGGGTCTGGGAAAGATTTGTTGTGTTAGCTGGTTTTCTTCTAACGTGCATTAACTGTTAATAAATAACTTTTGTCTGTGGGCTGCCCACCCAGGATTGTCACATGCAGCACACTTTGAGAAATTCTGAGGTTATCAGTGGTTAAGAGCACAGACTCTACAGTCAGACAGACTAGAAAATTTAAGTCTACTTACTAGCTTGGGAGAATTGTGTAATGTGTTTAAACCTCAGGTTCCTCATCTTAAAGAAAAAAAAAAAAAGGACAAAGAAAAATACCAGTATCATGAGAATTAAATGAGATAATGCATATAATATTCTTAGCAAAGTGCCTGGGCTCTTTGTAAGAGCTTACTGATTGTAAACTATCATCCTTATGTTGGCTATTGTTAATAATGATGAAACCATTTTCTTGGCAGTTTAAAGCAGCAGTATGAATTTAGCCACTGAGTCCAGAAGAAGGGATTTTCAGATTAAAGTGACATACTGGGTTACTTCTACTTACAGAAAACAAAATCCATTCTTTTGAACTTGAGCTCTGGGGATTATACAAAGCACCTAAAACATGACTGTTAAATAATGCAGTATATTAATTTGAGTATTATGTAGGTTCTAAACCAGCATGATTTCCAAGGCAATAGAAAAAGTGCAATTTAATCTGAAATTCAATCAAGTGGAATAATTTATGCATTAGGTATTTAGTTTCCAGAGTAGCTACCAAACACATTTAAGAGTATTTGTTTGTGACTATTGTAGAACATGCTGCTATGAACATTGAGGTGCATATATCTTTTTAAATTAGTGTTTATATACTCAGGAGTGGAACTGCTGGATCATAGGGTAGTTCTATTTTTAGTTTTTTGAGGAACCACCGTATGTTTTCCCTAGTGGCTGGACCAGTTTACATTCCTACCAATAGTGTAGGAGGGTTCCTTTTTCTCTGCATCCTCACCAGCATTTTTGTTTTTTTGATGACAGTTCTGACAGGTGTGAGGTGATACCTCCTTGTGGTTTTGATGAACATTTCTCTGATAATTAGTGATGTTTACCATCTTTTCATGTGCCAGTTGGCCATCTGTGTAGTTTTCTCTTAACAATTTTATTCAAAAGATTATTTTTGGTATTCATCCATTCATTTGTTTGCTCAACAATGTTAGGAGTTTATTGTGTAGCAGGCATCTGAAAAAATTCTTTAAATATCTATGTTNTGTATAATGGGCTCCAGTTTCATCCATCTCATTAGAACTGATTCAAATGAATTCTTTTTAATGGCTGAGTAATATTCCATGGTGTATATGTACCACAGCTTCCTTATCCATTCGTCTGCTGATGGGCGTCTAGGTTGCTTCCATGTCCTGGCTATTATAAACAGAAACACTCACTTTTTTGGCCATGTTTTCAAAACATGCATCTTCCACTCTAAGCAATCTTGGATGTTTTTCTGAAAACTGTGAGTTTGACATGAAGAATGTCTGTACTGTTTTTGATATTCAGAAATATATACCTGTATATTCATTATATAACTATGACACTTCTGGTATGAAAAAGTGCTATTATATGATTATTGATAGATCAAAGAATGATCATCTTTTTACTCTACAAAAAGAACAATTTTTAGACTATAGTTACATCATTAGGCTGTAATATAGAAGCAGATATGTTACTGAAAGACTAACCAGAAAAATCTTGAAATTTCCAACTGAAAATTTACATTAGCTAATAGGATTCTAAGTATTTAATGTGTATCTTTTCAAAGCATCCAAATAGATAGATTTTTCTCTAAGTATAAGTCCTGTGGCATATTTTTGATATGATGAAACATTTCATGTGAAAAGGGAAAGCCTTAAGAATTCAGTGAACATCTGAAGGAGTTTAAATTCTTACTTTGGAGCTGCGTAACAGCCATTTTTTTCTTTGTTCACTAACTGCCAAAATCTGTCATTCCTGAGCCATTTCAAGGGGATAAATAAGGTAAATTATGTTATGCACATGACCCACTGCAAATGTTGATTTGAGCAAGGTTACAGTCAGCATATGTCAGCTAACATAGAATTTTCTAGTGCATCATGTGATTCATTTTGCCTGAATGGAGTGCTATGAAAATAACAAAATTTCTTCTAGAAATTATTATTACTTGTTTGTGTTTGTAACTATGGCAATATCACTAACATAAGCAGCCTTATTATCATCCTTATATACAGAACCCTGGAATTCCTCATCCTACATAAGTTTCATTCAAATGTAAGGAAACCTTGTTACTTATTTAAGAAAATTGAATGCTAGTAGGGAAGTGAGGTGGACACTCACTCACTCATCATGCTCAGCTGTGTCTCTTTGTGACCCCATGGACTGTAGCTCCTCTATTCATGGGATTTTCCAGGCAAGGGTACTGGAGCAGGTTGCCATTTTTTCCTCCAGGTGATATTCCTGACTGAGGGATTGAACCCGTGTCTCCTGTCTCCTACACAGCAGGCAGATTCTTCACTGCTGAACCACTGGGAAAGCCCGAAGTGGTAGTGAAGTACTGTTTTGGGGTTTTTTCTTTTGTCATTGGGAATCATTAAAATATATTATTCATCTATTGAAATTTATTTTGAAAGTTACAGTTCACTTTAGTCGCTCAGTCATGTCAGACTCTTTGCAAACCCATGGACTGCAGCACGCCAGGCTTCCCTGTCCATCACCAACTCCCGGAGTTTACTCAAACTCACATCCATCAAGTCTTCTGATGCCAT